CCGCTTCGCCTGGAGAGGCGGCCGGGCGCGGCCAGGGATCCGGGCGAGGGCGGTGCCCTGCCCGCTAGGCTAGGTGAACGTGGAGCAGCGGGTGTCGGGGCTCGGCCAGACGAGGGGGCAGCCGGAGCCGGGCCCGGCATGGTGGTCCGGGTGTGCAGATCTTTGAGGAAGGGTCTGGCGGGCGAGGGCGCGCGGTGCAGTCGCCTCCTCTCGGCCAACGGGTGGAGGTGGTGGTGGCGGTGGTGCTGGCCAGGCGGCTGTGGCTTCGCGTCCTGGGCGCCGCCGCCCGCGGGGCCATTCAGCGTCTCCATAACCCGTGCCGTGAGCAGCAGCTTGGGCAGCAGATGCTCCGAGCGGCAGCGGCGGCGGCGTGCAGCCTCCCCGCGCGCTCGCTCATCACTGTCCCCCTGCCCCGCCCGGTCTGCGCCCCGCGCTCCCGCCGTCCCCCCCTCCGCCCACTACACACACCCGACCCGTGAGTCCCTGCGGGACTCGCAACCGCTGCCGCTTCGCTTTCCCCTCGCTGAGGTCAATGCCGCTTGAGTTCTCTGCGAACAGCCGCAAGGTGGCTCAGGATCCCTCGCATCCCCCTGGAACCTGCGCTCGGGGCTCGTGGGTACGCCGCCGCGGCCTTGCTCACCCGCACTCCTCTGGCGGTGGCGCGCACCCGGCTCCCGCGTCCTGCTCCCCGCCCACTGCCCGCCCGCGCCCCACGGCACCCACCCGCTCCGGCCCGCGCCCGCCCGCGCAGCTCCGGGCGGAGAGAAACTGCACGCGCGCTCCCCGCCGCCCCTCGCCCAGCGCCCGCCGCAGGGTGCGCATGCCCCGCCTCCCGCCAGCCGGCGCCCGCGAGGGGCGGGGCCTCAGCTCCCAAGGGGCGCGGAGTCGGCAGCGTCCACGCGCTCTTGCAGCCCTGGGACCCTCCTTGTCTTTTGAGACCATAGAGACACTGCCAGCAGCTGGGGAGATAGAGAAAAAGCCGAGTGATGTAGGGGGAAGGGGTCGGGCACTCGCCACTTTGACGAAGATTGAAGTCCAGGAGGTGTCGGTGGGCCCCACTGTGGTGTGTGCCTTGGGTCGTCCATTTTCTATTAGCTGACCAACGCCCCCCACACCCCGACCCCTTCAGTCAACCCCAACCCCTGGGCCCCTCAGTCCCCTCCCACATGCACTGTGCTTTCCAAGCTGTGCTCAGAGTCCCCGCGCTCCTTTAAGGATCGCTGGTACCCGAAACAGCTATCGCGTAAAGACGGGCACAGCGCTCCACAGTTGGCACCCCCAGTGGCTCCGGGAGCTCCGAGAGGGAGGAGCTGCTGTAGAAATAGGAGAAGCAGATCGCCAAGCTTGGGGTCAAAAAGGGAACTCACATTTATAGTTCCGGCTGAGAGCCAAGCACTGTTAGACACTTTCATAGGCATTGTTTTATTTAATTTTCCTAACAATCCCGAATCGAAATTCCTGTCTTGATTAAGGATGAGGACATGGGCACAGGGTGGTGCAGTCGCTTGTTGGGGTGTCTTAACCATGGCTGAGCTGGAATTTAGCTAGGTTCAGCAGGACTCTCAGTCCCATACTTTCCTCTCAGACCTGCACCTTCCCTCTTACTGGAGTATGAATTCTGCTCTAAGGGCAAGGCACTTGACATTTTTGAGCCTCAGTTTCCTCCTTCACCTATATATTTAGAAAAGACTTGCCACCTGAGTGTGAATGAGGATTAAATGAGCAAATATGAAAACACACCATATGAACTATATAGTGTTTTTCACAAATCATTAAATGCACTTATGTCTCAGACATTGGATGTTGGGCAAAACCCAAGGTAAAAGCCCAACCTGTCATCCAGCCTTGGTATTTTAAGGAGGCAGAGGGCAGGCAATAATTACAAGGTGCTAGGATGGGCGCCTCAATTAGCTTGAGGAGGTTTGCATTTTCTTGGGGGTCTTGTAGGTGAGAGACTAGGGTCTAAGACAGCAGGTGGGAAGACAAGTAAGGAAGGGTTTAGAGATGGGCTAAGGTGGGTGGCAGAGGTATTTGGATATTATCCTAGAGGCTAGGAGCCATTGAAGGATTCTGAGCATGACTGATCATATTTGCAAAGAAAAGAGCCCATCAACAGCATGGGGGAGCAGAGGGAGGCTGGTCAGGAAAGGGCAGTTGGTGGCGGTGGCAAAAAGCTCTGGTTGACAGAGACTCTGTGTCTAATAGAAGAAAAAGTAGGCCCTAATCTTCATCCTGTGGGATTAGGCCCAACTTCTTAATAAGAATCCTATAGCATAAGAATTAAAATCAAGAATCAATAAATGGGATGAACTCAAACTAAAAAGTTTTTTATCAGCAAAAGAAACAATTTGTGAGGTGAACAGAAAGCCTATATCCTGGGAGCAAATTTTTGCCCTTCACACATCAGATAGAGCACTAATCTCTAGGTATATAAAGAACTCAAAAAGCTAAACACTGAAAAAACAAATAACCCAATCAATAAAAGGGTCAAGGACCTGAACAGATACTTCTCAAAAGAGGATATACAATCAATCAACAAATATTTGAAAAAATGCTCATCATCTCTAGCAATCAGAGAAATGCAAATTAAAACTACTCTAAGATATCATCTCACTCCAGTCAGAATGGCAGCTATTATTAACAACAAAAGTGGAGGGAAAGGTACTCTTATATGTTGCTGGTGGGACTGCAAATTGGTGCAGCCAATTTGGAAAGCAGTATGGAGATTCCTTGGCAATCTGGGAATGGAACCACCATTTGACCCAGCTATTCCTGTCCTCAGACTATACCCAAAGGACTTAAAAACAACATACTACAGGGACACAGCCACATCAATAGCTAAACTGTGAAGCCAACCTAGATGTCCTTCAGTGGATGAATGGGTAAAAAAAAATGTGGCATATATACACAATGGAATTTTACTCAGCATTAAAAAAAAAAACAAAATCATGGCATTTGCAGATAAATGGATGGCATTGGAGAAGATAATGCTAAGTGAAGTTAGCCAATACCCAAAAAACAAATGCCGAATGTTTTCTCTGATATAAGGAGGCTGATTCATAGTGGGGTAGGGGGGGAGAGCAGGAGGATTAGATTAATTCTAGATAGGGAAGAGGGGTGGGAGGGAAAGGGAGGGGGCAAGGGATTAGCAAGGATGGTGGAATGTAAGGATATCATTATACAAGGTACATGTATGAAGACTTGAATTGGGTGTCAACATACATTATATACAGAGACATGAAAAATCGTGATATATATGTGTATTAAGAATTGTAATGCATAAAAACAAAATACATGTATAAAAGCATAAATTGGGGTGAACATACTTTATGTACAGAGATACAAAAATTGTGCTTTATATGTGTAATAAGAATTGTAATGCATTCCATTGTTGTGTATTTAAAAACTAAAATAAAATCAATTAAAAAAAAAAAGCTCTGGTTGAGAGGACAGTAGTAGTAGGGATACAGAAAAGAGGACAGACTTGTAAAACTAATAGAAAAAAAAAATAGACTCCAAAGTTTGTGATCTTAATCACAACCTTCAAAAAGTGCAGGATAAACTAATTTTTTAAAACTTATATAAATCAGAGAGTCAGATCTCCCAGAAGACATAGTGCCTTGTCAGGAGTTGACCTCTGAGGGCACTGAAACCTGTCCAGCTCTGTTGCTGCATATAAAGAACTGCTGAATGTTTGTGAGTTGCTTTTCTGAGAATTCTTCCAAATGTGAGATGACACACAAGAAATACTCTTTGATGTGATGTCTAGTACGACCTTAGCCATATCTCATGGAGTGTTTGGAGAAAAAGGACATTGGTTAGCTTTGCTGTGGGCCTAAGTGACCACAGAGCACAGACAGAAAAGGTTATCACACCATGAGCTAGCCAGCTCCCATAGAGGGAGCTCTAACTCTCCCCTTCAATTAATGCTAACAGTCCAAGACAGTAGAACTCCCTCCAGAGACCCAGAAGACTCCACCACCCTCAAATTCCTGAAGAATTATGCCCAGGACTGGTAGCACAATCTTGCCAGGTCCTCAGACCACAAACAGTCATACAAATGGCCACCCCAAAGGTAAGTTAGTCTTCCAAAAACATCAGTCAGGTGACCAACTTATAGCTAGCTTCCCTTTCCTTCAGGTACTGAGTCGAACAAAATTCATTCTTCTTCTTATTAGTCTGGCAAACGTGACTACTGGCCCTGGGGAAGGAGAATTCACTAATGCCTCTTTATTTTCCAATATTCAAGGAGTTACAGGTATAAAGAGATCTTCTTGTAGAAGAGATGTTTTTAAAGTCAATTGTGATTTTTTAAAAAAAGGTTTTTGTTGTTGTTAAATCAAAGTAGTCTCAAGGCATGAATAGGTTTACTATTTAAAAGAATATTGAGGTGCTTATTCTGTAAAACAACAGCAAGACTCAGTGTGACTATACCTGTGTGGTTCCTCTACCCCCAGATCTTGGTCCCTGCCTCTCCTCTCTCTGCTCTGACTGGAAGAGGATAAAACCCACCATGGGTGGGTTTCCAGGCTTCTTGCTTTGCTCAGTTTAACTGAGGGTGGGCTGTCAGGAGATTAGAATGGACAGGAAGGGAAAGACCAGGGTATCACCCTCTCTCTCTGCCTCATGTGTCTTCTCCCGCAGGGTCCAGTCTCCTTTGTGGAATGGCTCTCTGAGGCTGTCCTTGCTCCTTCTGGTAACTTTGGCTTCCTCGTCACCTTGCTGTCAAGAGCATTTTGGAGTGTTTTAAGATGTTGTTTGTTATCACAAAAATTGGATTGGGGAGCATAATTGGCATTTAGGTGAGTTGCTAGTAAGGGATGTTAGATGTGCCCAGAGAATTGTCCCATCAGATAGTAATCTGTTATCTGAGCCTAGAATGTAACCATAGTGCTGTCAGGGAAGGAGTGACCCACCTTTATGTATGTGTGAAAAGCTGGGTGAGGGGGTTTATTACTCAGCTTTCTGTTACTATAATAAAATACCTAAGAGAAATCAACTTAAAAGGAGGGATTGTTTATTATAATCCAAAGTTGTGAAGTTTTCAGACTTCCATGATAGTCATGATTGGTGCTTGCCAATCTCTGGGTTACTTTGTTGTCTCCTATTTGGCTTTCAATTCCTTGTGCTGGAATCTTCATTGCATAGACTTATAACATATATTCCATGGTTCCAATTGTATCATTCTTCTGTAGGAGCCTAAATGCAAGCCTAGAGTGTCAGTAATGTCTGTAGGATTGTGCTCATGACCTCTTTGTCCAAAACAGTGTGGTATGATTATAAGAGCTGAGGCATTGACACCAGGTGAATCTGGGTCCAAATCCTGCCAAAGTCATATCTTCTGTGTGATTTCTTGGCCTTGGATAAGGTTTTTGTTTGTTTGTTTGAGATGGGCTTCTATTATGTTCCTGAACTTGGCCTTGAACTCAATGATCCTTCCTCAGCTTCCTAAATAGTGGAGCCTGTAGATGCACGCCACCATACCCAGCTCTGATATTATTTTCATCATCATTATCTAATACCAGTGGAGGAAACTTAAATACTCTTTACAATATCACCAAACCAAGCCTGGTGTGATGTTGCATGTCTGTAATTCCAATTACTCAGGAGGCTGAAGCAGGAGGATTTTGAGTTCCAGACCAGCCTGGGCTACTTGGGGATACCCTATCTCAAAATAAAATAAAGATCCGGTGTTATAGCTCAGTGATCTACTGTTTGCCTAGCATGCATAAAGGCCCTGGGTTCAATCCCATGTACTGCTTAAAAAAAAAAAATCACCAAATGAGCGAAATTCATTCTGTGTTTATATACAGTTGTACAATGAGAAATGACTTTAACTTTGACCCATAGAGGAACAAAATATGGCTTACTCAGAACTACATTTTGTGCTGTATACTCACAGCCCAAATTATATCCAGAATTTCTGCACCCTCACAACCTTGTCCAAAACCAGTTACTTGTCTGTATTCCAGTTTTTTTTCTCTTATTTTAACATAAAGACACATTAAAATATGAAATAATTCCTAGTTTTTCATGAGAAACCATCCTCTTTGAACAGCATGAAAACAGTGGGAAATTTTCAAGAGAATGAGCAATTTTTTTGGCAATCAGGAAATTTAAAGTTCACCTGAAGTCAAGGTGGGCCTCTGTGTGTGAAGCTGAGGCATCTGTTATATTGGGTGGTTGGGAACCTCCCAGCTCCCCTTGCAAGGTAACTGCCAAAAATTCCATGTGGGACCCAAGCCAGCCTCTCACAGTACCCACTAGACCCTCTCATGGTCAGATTGGCAGCTGTGTGGTGTTGATGACAGTGATGATCTCAGAGGCTCTTGAATTTGAGAACATTAAAATTCTGCTAGTGAGCCAGGCACAGTGGTGCATGATTGTAATCCCAGTGGCTTGGGAGGCTGAGGCAGAAGGATTGTGAGTTCAAATCTAGCCTCAGCAAAATCAAGGCTCTAAGCAACTCAGTGAGACCTATATTTTTAAAACATATTTTCAATGCAGGTAACCATATGTAACCATCTGTCCTTGCCTTAAGAAATTTGGCATCAATGTTTCTAACACAGCTCCAATGCCACATGTTTGTTGTTTGCATTTCTTCCTGTTTCTTTTAAATACTCTTTCTCTATGCTTTCAGAAAACAGAATGACCCACTTTTATGGGTATAAAAATATGGGTAACAGAGTGTGCTAGCCTTTCCTTTACTGTAACAAAATAGCTGAGGTAATCAACTTCAAAAAAGGAAATGTTTATTTCGGCTAAAAATTTTGGAAGTTGGTCCCTGATTGTTTGGCCCATAGCTTTTGGGAGTATGAGGCAGAGGAAGCTCATCACTGCATAATATCCAGGAAGCAAAAGAAAGGGGCTGGAGCCCCAATATTTCCCTGAAGGCAAACCACCAATGACCTAACTTCCTCCCACTAGGCCCCACCTCATAAACATTATCCACCTCCATGGATTAGAGGCCAAGCCTTTAACACATGGGTTTTGGGGGACATTTCAGATCTAAACTGCACCATCTTCAGATCCAAACTATGACATGGAGGTTTATTCAGTTTAAACCTGCACTGGAGTCTTTGAATGAATCTCCCTCTGGTATGAGAATGGAGAGGATGGAGAGGGATGATAGCAGAAGGGAAGCCCTTTTGGTCTTGCCTTAGTCCTTAGTATGGGTGGGAGCACCCCCCCCTTGGGACATTTTGGGAGTGTATTTGGGGGGTCATTAGCACAAAAGTTAGATAGGGGGACACAACTGGTATTGAAGGGGTAGGGACATTGGGAATGCTAGATGTGTTGCAATTTACCCAGAAAAGAATTGTCCAGCCAACTGCCCAACTTCTGAATGCCCACTAAAACATTCACATTAGTTAGAAAAAAATCTGTCATTATCTGGGCCTAAAATGTAGAGTAGCATTTTTAAATTATTTTTAAAAATTGTTCTAATTATTATTTTAAATTTACAAATAACTATATTTCATTTGTAGACCACAAGATGATGTTTTGACATATGTATACTAAAGAAGTACTTTTTAAAGGTTATTTTAATAGCTACTGGATTCTTTTAGGAATGGAACTGCAGTAGAAACCAAGACTGCATTTCATTTTATTTGGAGATCTTTGATGCATCTTTCATCTTTGATCATTTCATTAAGGTGCCGCTCAAGGCACTGGAGTTGTCAATAAAGCACACCTGTGTTTGTCTGAATTTTCTTAATTTTTAAAGTTTCATCACTGCAGAGAATCTGTATACTTTATTATAAATTTTCTAGTATGTTTGTATCTAGAATTTGTATGTTGAAATACATATTGTACAGATGTTGTAACAAAACATATATTCCCTTATTATTTCTCTCTTATATTGGCATTACAGCATTGTAGTGATTTTTAAAATATTTGTTTAGGGGAGTGATACACACACAATGATTCTCATTTCAAATAAAGGGCATGCCCTAAGAAAAGGGTGTGGTTGGGGCTGACAGCATTGAGAACCACAACTTGTCCTTCAGAGCTGAGATGTTGTGGAGGATGCCCCCTGGTGGTCGGTGTCAGGATGCCACCCTCCAGCACAGTGTGTTCAAAACAGGAATCTAATAAAAATGTCAGCATTTGGGCTTGGGAAAGGAGTGAGAATTGTGTGTGATTTAAAATAGCTCTAAGGTTTAAGAGACTTTCTTTCATCAAAGGGGGCAGTTTTCTATTATACAAACTTTGACATGTTTATGAAACTTAAAATCTTATATTTGGACTCCTTTTCTTTGGCAACCTAATTGCTAGTGACTTTTAAATGACATTTAAAAACTGTTCCGGGATTCTAAACTTGATACACAGGGAAAATATGTTGTTAAATAAGGAAAACTAAGCAAAGTTCTCTGCCTTCCCTCATCTGCAGTATGTATATTCTGAAAAATGAAGAGAAAAGAATGGGCTGTGTTATCACCCCTTTAATTTAGAACATGACAAATCTCACCATGTAGATCTTGAAATGTATGCCTGTGTTTAGTTTTATTATAATTTTTTATTACTGTTTCTCTTCCTAATGAGTTACTATCATCCAAAACAGAAATGAAAATGTGAAATAGAAGATGCCAATAACCACTTCTTCCTGCTAACTCTGGCCAGCTTTAAGGCTCACCTTTACATATAAAGTAAAGGTAGGTTTACACAGAAAGTAAGGATGAAACAATGGAGTAATAGAAGGCTCCATAGCAGATAATACTTATGAAATAAGCCTCCTGATGAATTGTGGAGGTCGGATATTGTAGAAGGTCACACATGAAAAAGCATTTTATGATTTCTATGTAAAGTTATTGTTGGAAAGATTTTACCAGTGAAGAATTAGAACAACCTATGCTCAGTGCCTGGACAGATGATTTGTTCAATTACAAATTTATTCACCTATTCAACAAAATATCTCAGTCTTCCTTGTCTCTGAGAGGCCTCATCTATACAATTAGGGAGTTGAGCATAAATAAGTTTTAATATACTTCTGAGAGTTGAGGTGAAGTTCTAAATGCTAATTTAATTATCCACATGAGTATCCATAGTAAGTTGAGAATCCCCTCTGTTCATTCCAAAATTATGCTCAAAAAATGTAAACTAAATACAATGAAAGAATAGCATAATGAAGAAAGTTTAGAGTAACTATAGTAGATGCTATTTTATACATATTTCTTATTACCCAATTGCAACAGAATATTGAAATTCAACCATGTATTTGAGTGGTTTCCAATATCATAAACATAGAACAAATACATTTCACATTCACCTCTTTAAATACTGTCCCCAGGATCTAAGAATTCAAGAGAAGAAAGAGGACAAGGATGCATTGTTTTTCTCCCCTCAGCTGTAAGCCCCTACCTATTTAGGACACCCCATTCCTGGTATCTTCTGGCTATTGTTCAGAAGCAGTCCTCCCTTCCATAACTAGGATGAGCATATAATTTATCACCCAGACCACAGATCATTTAAGAGGAGAGGAGGGCACTTGAAAATTACAGGAACAGCAGGCATGAACTGGATTGGGGCTGGGCAGGTAGGGCTATGTGGTCACCCTATGATTAATATCCATTCCTCAAGGTAAGAATGTCTCAAATTGAATCAAACTGACTCATCTTTATATCCATTCACACTAAGAAGACATGAATACTTTTCATTTTGCTTAATCCTTTCCAACATAATTGGGACAGAAGACTGTTAAAGAATCCTCATTGCCTGTTCATCCACTCAGTCGTTTATACACTCATTCATCTGCAGATTATTTATTGAACACTTTTGAAAATGCTAAGCCTCATATAGAGACCTGGTACAGCAGGGGTGAAAAACAAAACAAAACATGGTACCTGCCTTGTGGAGGCTCATTATCCCATACAGAAAATAATATGAGAAAGAGAAAGCTGTCGCTGAGATCCAGAGCTGTTCTCCCCTGTAGCTGGCCTCTGCGATCCTAGGATCTGACCTGGTTCTCCAAGCTAGGACCTGTGTCTGTCTAACATAAACCACTGCACAGTGTACAACCATATCTCTATGAAAAATTGTGCTCTATATGTGTAAAACGAATTGTAATGCACTCTGTTGTCATATATAACAAATTAAAATTTAAAAATCAAATAAACTACGGCACAGAACCTCAACATCAGACCAACACCACTCTGGGACCATGATGAATGAAGACATAACAAAATCATAAATCTTTATGTCAAACAAGGCTACTTATAAGTGAAAAAATAATAAGCATTTAGTTCATATATTTGATCACAGATGGTTCACATTTGTGTTTTGAACCTCATACATTTTTATGTATTTTATTCTTACCAGAACTGTGGAACTGCTGCCCCAAACTAACTTTTTTTTTTTTTTTTGGTAGTTGTAGATGGATAGAATGCCTTTATTTTATTTGTTTCGTTTTTATGTGGTGCTGAGGATGAAACCCAGTGCCTCACACAGGCTAGGCAAGCACTCTGCCTCTGAGCTACAGCCCCAGCCCCTAATTCAACTACTTTTATTTTGCTTCTTGATATGGTTATTTTTTTTTTAATTTTTATTTTTTTTAACCAACACTCTCTGCCTTAGGCTGTCTGGGGAGAAAGGAGAGCCTGAAAGGAAGTGGAACTGTGGGGTGTCCTTTCTTTCCTTGCCACAAGGTTGTTTTCAGGTTAAGTGGCTGCCTAACAAAGGGAGGCAACCTGAGTAAGAAAGGCTATGACACGTCTCTGTGGCCTCTTGGGTTTCTTTAAACATCACTGCCTTCTTTCTCCATTCAAAGCAAGTCTGGCCAAGGCCGGTTTTGGTTCAAAAGGCAAGTGTGGCCTCTCAGAGCTGCCAACGCAGCTGCTTGCTCAGTTATGACCCAAGTCATTACACTCACTCAGAGTCTTACTCAATTTCATGCCTGTGGGTCCTCTGGAATTCTGTCTGTGCTCAGTGGTCACACGGACACAGTGTGCAAATGTGGTGGTAAAGAGCAACAGATATACATCTTGCTTGTATCTAATCTGCTCATCTCTATGCTCCATTTTCCCATGGGACTTCCTGGCAGGGAGAGGGGGACACTCACAGGTTCAAAGAAAAAGAATTAAAAATTTCAAGCTTGGGGCTGGAATTGTGGCACATAAAAATAAAAATATTGTGTCCAATTGCAACTAAAAATAAAATAAATATTTTAAAAAAAAGAATTTCAAGCTTAATGCAACAGCAGAACATGAAATCAATTACAACTGCTATGGTTTGAATATACCCCCTCCCCTAAAATTCATGTGTTAGAAGACCTAATCCTCGAATTCATATGTTAATGTTATTTGGAAATGAGGCCTTCAGAGGTAATTAGGATTAGCTGGGGTTGGGTCATGAGGATTGAAACCTACTGCAGAGAACCTCAACATTAGTGGCTTTATAAGAAAAAGAGAAATCCAAGCTTGCTCACTTGCTCACTTGCTCTGACTAACCATATGATGCCTCCATCTGCCATGTTATGGTGAAACTAGAAGGCCCTCACTAGATGCCAAGAAGACGTCATTTCCATGCTCTTGGACTTTGGAACTGTGAGTCAAATAAGCTTCTATCCTCTATAAATCACCTGGTCTTGGATATTCTGTTACAGCAGCAGAGTCCTTATAAGGGCAAACAAGACAGACCTTCTAAACACAGATCCTGTGGGACTGCACAGTGATGAGCTGGGAAGTCTGACCACAGCATGGATATACATGATCAAAGATGTGCTTGGTGCGGTATGGAGTCCACGTGATGGTTTCACCCTATGTAGATCACATAACTCCAAAAGCTCAGGCTCTGGGGCAGACCCCAGTATTACTAGCCATGTGTCCTTGGATAAGTTACTTACTCTATGCCTCAATTTTTCCTGCTTGTAAAATGGAAATAATAAGGTTACCCAACTCATCGGGTTATTGTAAGGATTAAATTTTAATACATATGAACATTTAGAATTATACTAGTTGACAGCTAGCAAGACCTAAATAAAGATCAGTTATTGATAGGGAGATGAATATAGGACTACACAATATAATTTAACTTCCTAGCTACATCTGCATACAGGTAAAGAATGTGCTTGAGAGTTTCTAATTAGAAAATAGTAAATAGATGTTCTGGTTTGCAAGTTTAACAAACAAGAACAAGAAGAGAGAGATGAGATCTGGTAAAGCTTTATGGTAGAAAAAGCAAATGAGACTATCAAAAGGAAAGTGGGTCCTGGGTTAAGGTCAACAGACACGATTCTCTAAGTTTCACATGTGAAGAAACCAAGACACAAGGTAAATAATCCACTCACCAAACACAACACTGGGTTATTATGGAGGCAGGTGAAGTAGCAATGGTTCTTCATGTTTCTTGAGCAAAGCTCCACAGCCTGAAGTGTACAAAAACAGGTGGGCTTTCACTGGGCCACTGTTTAAGTCCCTGTCATCAGGATAGTTTACTGGAATGAGGCCACTTTGAAGTAAGGAGAATATAAATATGGCTTTGTGATGTCATTAAGTAGCAGAGCCAGGCTCTGAACTTGAACTACACTCCCCTGTGCTCTTTCCTACCTTCCCCACATCTACTGCCGCCTATCCCATCAGGTGATCAGCTACCATCAAACCTGCTACGGATCTTTCTTGGGATACAATGGGGCCAGCATCATAAGATTCATAGAGGAGGGTTTGGAGGTGTAACTCAGTGGTAGAGCACTTGATTAGCATGTGTGAGGCCCTGGGTTCAATTTCCAGCATCACAAAGGAGAGAGATGTGAAAGAGGTTTCTGGAAGGAAAGAACCGATGCTCATCAGACAGATGGTGCCCATAGATGTTCTGCTCTTTCCTGAATTCTAAAAGTCCGCTCTCTGCGCCCTGAATTCTAAAAGTCAGGAACAGTCGTAGACTTTCTATACATAATAAGCCCAATGAATTAGATACCTTTGGGAGTGCAAGGGGTCCTACAGGAGGTCCTATGTCAGTAAAAGTGGAAAGGTAGGGAAGTCTTTTTTTTTTTTAAATAAAAATTTGGATACAGCCATTGATTATGGAGCAGCACAATCCCCACATGGTGATCCAAGGAAGAGATGGTTTAAGCTGAGGAATTAATTGACTCCCTTTAGATCCCTCCAGAAGCTTAAATTCAGCCCAGAGACAATGTTATTGAGAGGCACAAAGGAGGAAGCAGTTACATCTTTTGAGACTTTGGGAAACAAAGATCATTAAGGCTTGGGGAAACAGTTTTGATTTTTCAGTTTCCACTCAGCAACACTCATGCATTTGCACCAGCATCCCTTTGTGCCGCATGAGGAATAAAAGTGGACCAGTGTCTGTTGACCAGTAATGCTCTTGTGTGATACTTATGAGCTACTGGGTGAATAAGAAGCATGGCCTGATCCTTTGCTCCAAAAACTATCTCCAACTCGGATGCCAATTTGAGTACAAAATGTGATCAGATCAAATATTGATTTAATGAGATATTTTAGAAAATCCTATAATCATAATTATCATCTCATAGATGCAAAAATTACATCAACAGGGCTCATTTTTTAATCACTGTGCTTCTGTGCATGCCCACACATTCCTGCATTAGAGGACATTGAGGTCTCGCTAGAGCTCTGTCAGAGTTTGATTGAAAATAAAAGGATGTCCAGGAGTATGCCTCTGAGATTCTATTGGAAAGGCACTTCTACAAGGAAAAAGAGTAGATAGATGTTTAGAGAAGAGAATCCTCCTTTTGTGTGAACCTTTTCTGCTCCTTTAAGTTGCTACTGGGCTCCCACAGATCATCTTTGTGCTCCTTCTCCTTTCCTTTTGTTGAGCATCTACTATATGCCAATTCCAGCCAAGATTCATCTCCTTCACAGTGCCCCTTCCTTAGTCCCTCAGATCCACCCTGCACACCTGACCAAGTACTCTTGGGGCTACTGGGATGACTAACATTGAACTTCCTGTTGCTGTCTGCCTGGCCAGCATAACACAGGGAGCAGAAGGCCTAATCAAGGTTTATTCCATACAAATGGCAGTATTTCCATATTTATCCTGCACAAACAATGAGGACCAAGAGAATGCACAAATTTTAGGATAAGCTTGAGTGCTGTATAGCTTGTTGCCAAGAAATTTCTCAAATAAAGAAGAAATTTACTCCCTTCCAAATGTGTCAATCAAAAGATGTATACCACATCTTTTTATTTTTAAAGCTAAGTGCAGAAACTATACTACATCAACCCCTCTAAGTCTTAAATGAAGGGGAAAATTTTATACCCTTTTTGTTGATTCACAATGATAATACAACTTTTGCTTCTAGTTAGACAGCTTATAAATATAAATAGCTTTCTCTCTGTCTGTCCTCTCTCTCTCTCTGTCTCTGTCTCTGTCTCTGTCTCTCGCACTAGGAATACAACCCAGGTCCTCACACATGATGGGCAAACACATTACCACTGTGCTACATCCTCAGCCTATAGATATCTTGATGATAGTAAATTTGAGGAACTAACTAAAAGGCTAACTTGAATTTATAGAATCTCTATTTTTTTCTGATTTAATATACATGGATAAGGTCATTTCTGTTTGCATCACTAAAAGCAAAGAAAAATTATTCTGTATAATAATAATGGGAACTAAGCAGCAGAAGTTCCTTGCTGATTTAAGAATTAGAATTAGAATACCCATGGCTAGAGATGTAGCTCGATGACTGCTTGCCTGGCATGTGTGTGTAGTCCTGGGTTCTATCTCCAGTATCACCAAAACAAACAACAACAACAACAACAACAACAAAAAACTTAAACCCAAAATCATAGTTTTGTTGCTGGTAAGCAAAGAATGACCTTCAAACATCATTTTCAGTTCTCAACAGACTTCAATTGATCTCCACTTACTAGCAGTGTAAATTTAGGCAAGTTGCAAGTTAATTTCTCTCTGTGGTCAAGTGGTTTCCCTTCCCAATAAATAGCATAGTTGATAAGAATAATAAAATACTCACCCCAGAGTTGTTGAGAGACTAAAATGAGATATTGTTTATAAAGTCCTTTGCAAATTCAGAACACACAGCAAATTTCCCATTCATTAACCCTGAGCTCTTCAGACAAGTCATTTAAACTTCGCTGGGGTTCAATTCTCTCCAATTCTAAATTCTCTTTCCAAACAGCTTTGAAAGATTACAGAGAATTGTAATTAGCATATCAAGCACCAGGCTAATTTCCTGCCAGCTCCTGCTATCCCTGCAATTACACTGTTTATATGTAAATGTCGAAATCCTGAACAGTGCCATCTCCATCAACTAAGAAAACAGTGTCTAGGTTTTGTTGACACTTCCCATTTTCTTTGCAAAGTGTGTTCACTGAGAACACAAAGGTACACGTGTCACCAGCCCCTAAGGACAAGGTTGACAAAATGCAACTTGAAATCTCCAAATTTTTCTTTGCTTTTAGTGATGCAAACAGAAATGACCTTATCCATGAGTAGTAACTCGTCTTCCTCAAGGGGTGCATGTTTTAAGTCTCTCCTAAAGACAGCGGAAGGCAGGAAAAGGCAGTGGAAGCTAATTCTATTGGGTTGGCCAATAGCCACAATAACCATTGCAAGATTTTTTAAAAACCGAAAGGGAATTTTAACTGCTCTGAAATCACCATGAAAGGGTGTATGTGCGTGTATGTGTATGTAGATGTAGGTGTGTGTGTGCAAGTGTGTGTGTGTGTGTGTGTGAGTGTGTGTGGTAGAAATCTGCTTAATCAGATGGTCTCACTGAACAAGTCTTAGGATCAGCTGGCTGACTCTATTTACCACCCAAACATCAACATCAGCTCTAATTAAGGCTCATTTATTCAGCAAATAAATTTTGCCAAGCACAGAGAACACAAAGATGACCAATGTGCCTTTGGCCCCATTAAGAAACTAACCTATAAGCTGCGATAACCACTGTGCTATGTCAGGGAACATGGAGGTTGGTGGGGCACAAAGTAAGAACAGTTTTCTCTTGATGAAAGTTGGGAGGTGCATGTGATCTAAAAAGCCACCATGTTTGTCTTTTTCAAATTTGTATTCCCCCATTCATTAGGCCTTCTTCTCTGTTCCTTATTCTGAAAAAAGATGTTAGCCCTTGCCATCTGTCAAGTTTTGAGGCTTCCTATATGGGGACATGTCATTGTTCCCAAGCTAACTGTGTCAGTGGGAGATCTGCATGGCTAACAACTGCAAGCAAATCAGAGTTTGGCTGGCGTGCTTGGGCATGTTCCCTGTGAGGAGAGCTCATATTAGCCTCCTCCTAAATGGGGAGACCAGGGCTAGCCAACAGCTTGGAGTTATCTTTGTGGATCCAGGAGGAGCAGCAATTTAAGGTGGAAATAATAAATGGGCTTTTCTCTGGGTCACTGTCTAAGCTCCTGTCATCAGGATAATTTATTTATTGGAATGATGTCACTTTGATGCAGGAAAACCATGAAAAATTGACTTAGGGATGAATCTATCTGTCCCCTTCACTTCCCCACAACCCAACCCAAGTTTGATCCTTCAAGGTGTGTGTGTGTGTGCAATAGAAATCTGCTTAATCAGATCGTCTGACTGAACAGGTCTTAGGATCAAAAGTTTAGTCCCTCAAAGGTTTAGTCCATGGTTGGCCAACTCCATTGCTCTGAGCCCAAGATGAGGCAGAATATCATGGCAGAAGGGTGTGGTGGGGGGAAAGCTACTTAGCCTATAGTGGCCAGGAAGCAGAGAGAGACAGGGGAAGGGGCTGCAGGACAAATGAATCCTTCCAGGGCATACCCCAGTGACCCATCTATCTCCTCCAGCTTTGCCCCATCTGCCTACAGTTACAACCCAGTTAATTCAGATTAGGATGGACTGATTAGGTTACAGCTCTCATAATCTAATCATTGCAACTCTGGCTGTTCCTGCACTAACACAGGAGCTTTGGGGGCACACCTCATATCCAAACCATAACACCAGGGAAGGCTATTGAGGAAGATCACATTTGACAACTACTGCCTCAAAGGATGACTGATTCTCTCCTTGTTGAAACCAACTTGGCAGACAATTTAGTTAGGAGATTTATTCCAGTTTTGCATCAAGAAAAAGGTCCCTGGGAGAACAATGCAGTTTATTCTTAGTAGAACATTTTTTCAGGAAAAGAAAATAGTTGTTAGATGATGAAGACTTAATACAATTAGAAAAGGTCGTTTAATTAAAGATCACCTTTATCTTGCTTGACAGGATAGGTGATGAGTTTCTTAGAACGAGTCTTAATTAATTTCAAAATTTTTTTTTGAATAGCTTTAATTTTGTTTAAATCAAGAATGTTATCTGGGAGTGGTGGCATGTGCCCATATCCCAGAAATTTGGGACACTGAGGAAGGAGGGCTGGAAGTTCAAGACCAGCCATGGCAATAGAGTGAGACCTTTAGCAACTTAATGAGACCCTGTATCAAAATAAAAATATAAAACGACTGTGGATGTAACTGAGTGCTAAAGTGTTTCTCAGTTCGATTCCTAGTACAAAAAAAATTAATTATTTCTTCCCAGAAGAAGATTGGGAATTATATCATACAAATTATGTTCTGTTCCAGATTAGGCTTGGGACAACACAAGAACACAAGCCCATTTAAGTTAATGTTAAGTAAAAGATGGTTTTATGAACACAGCAGTTATTCCCTCAAGCCTCCTAGAGATGAAATGGTGAGTCCTATGGTGTATGGAACAGTAGATTTTAGGCTGTGCCTAACCCTGAGTTACTCCATTTTTAAAGCAGTAGTTCACCATGAGTTACTCTATTCTGAGTACAAGTGCCAATGTAGGACGACTATACCTTGTTTGTACAAGAGAACAGCCACCATCTGCTCA